GACTTTTCGATTCATGAAATTGCTTAAGTGAAAGAATCTACCCAGTATTGATTGCAATTTATTACACACACCATTGACGTGCAGTTTCCAGTTCATATTACTATCTACTGTTAGGCCTAAGTATCGGTATTTATCTACTACATCTATGTTTGTGCACTGGCAGCCAGCTTTATTGAGGTGTTGACACTCGTATGTATGACCAGTTATATTTATGTTTAATTTACCTTGCTTAAAGACGTTACTGTGGGATGAAATTATATACATAGCCTTTGTTTTGGATAAATTTATAATTATACCGTTATCATGTGCCCATTTAATTATGTTTTCTAAGTCCTCCTGTATGTATTTTTGTGCATCACTCATGTTATTGGTTGAGTACATTAGGCACATGTCGTCTGCACACATAACCGTTTTACAATGCTTTATCACATTAATGACACTATTAACATGCATAATGTACTCAACTGGACCGAAAACCGATCCGGTTGGTACTCCAAGACTTGTAGACGATAAATCCGACACCCCAAGGAGGTGTCGGATTTATCGTCCACAAGTCTCTCGTCAACAACGCTGTAAAGATTGGGAGTGTGTCGACGAGGGTCGCGTACCTGATACTCAGAATCACCAAACGGTATTTGTTGAAGGTCATACAGGTCTACGCACCAACCTCGGCACATCCCGATGAGGAGGTGGAGGAAATGTATGAGGATATTTCTAGAGCCATGCATTCCTCCAAAACCCACTACACGGTGTTGATGGAAGACTTCAACGCAAAGCTAGGCACAAGAGAAGGCAGTGAGCTGAAGTTAGGGAAATTTGGAGTAGGGCAACGGAACCGTAGGGGCCAGCAGCTAACTGACTTTATGGAGAAAGAGGGACTTTTTATGATGAACTCTTTCTTCCAGAAGCGGCCCCACAATAAGTGGACCTGGTCGAGCCCCGACGGTTCGACAAAAAATGAGATTGACTTCATTATGACGACCAGATGCCAACTGTTCAGTGATGTCTCAGTGATCGCAAGGGTGAAAACCGGCAGCGATCACCGAATGGTTAGAGGCACACTGAACCTAAACGTTAAGTTGGAGAGGTCTCGTCCAATGAAGTCAACGCACCGTCCCCCTCGTGCTCTGATCCAGAATCCCGAGACTTTTCAGCTCGAGTTACGTAACCGCTTTCAGTGCCTAGAAGATTGCAATGCAGTGGACGATATGAATGACAAGCTCGTGGAAACTGTCCATGCGGTCGGAGCTAAGTTCTGCAAGACTCGCCGCAGAAGAACACAAAAACTCTCCGATTACACTCTTAATCTCATGGCTGTTAGACGGGAGATGAGGCTGCAATCGTCAACAGATTTGACAGCATACAAGCAACTGAACAGACAGATCTCCAACTGCATGCGGCGAGACTTACGCAACTTTAATACTGCTCGTATTAAAGAAGCGATCGAGCGGAACCAGGGCTCCAAAGTCTTTGCCAGAGATCTGTCTGCCAGAAAGAGCCAACTGTCAAAGCTGAAGACTGAGTGTGGCAGCATCGTTTCCGGGATACCTGAGATTTTGAGTGAGATTGAGAGGTTCTATGGGCAGCTGTACACTTCATTGTTGGAGCCACACGCAAGTGTGAGTAACGATACAAGAGCAAGTCTTACCCGACACTATTCCGATGATATCCCGGACGTCAGTCTGAGCGAGATTAGAATGGCTCTCCAGCACTTTAAAAACGGCAGGGCCCCAGGCGAGGATGGAATTACAGCGGAGCTTCTGAAAGCGGGTGGAACACCGGTACTTGAAGTCCTTCAGAAGCTATTCAAATCCGTCCTCCATGGTGGCACTACTCCGGAGGCGTGGAGCAGAAGTGCGGTGGTCTTTTTATTTAAGAAAGCCGACAACGCTCTCTTGAAGAACTACAGACCGATTTCCCTTCTGAGCCGCGTCTACGTGTTGTTTTCGAGAGTCATTACGAATCGTCTCGCATGCAGACTCGACGACTTCCAGCCTCCCGAACAAGCCGGTTTCCGAAAAGCCTTCAGTACCATAGACCACATACATACCCTGCGGCAGATTGTACAGAAGACCGAGGAGTACAATCTGCCACTTTGCCTGGCGTATGTGGACTATGAGAAAGCCTTTGATTCCGTCGAAATTTGGGCGGTGCTACAGTCCCTTCAGCGGTGCCAAGTTGACTGTCGGTATATCGAGGTGCTGAAGTGTTTGTACAGTAGGGCTACGATGGCTATCCGAGTACAGAACCAGAGTACGAAACCTATCCAACTGCAGAGAGGTGTAAGACAGGGTGACGTTATATCCCCGAAACTCTTCACCGCTGCGTTGGAAGACGTTTTCAAGCTACTGGACTGGAAAGGGTACGGTATTAACATCAATGGTGAGTACATCACTCACCTTCGATTTGCCGACGATATAGTCCTTATGGCAGAATCGCTGGAGGACCTTAGCACTATGCTCAATGACCTCAATGGTGTCTCCCAACGGATAGGTCTTAAGAAACATGGACAAAACAAAGATTATGTTCAATGTCCATGTTACAACTATGCCGGTAGTTGTGGGGAGCACTATGCTCGAAGTTGTTGACGAGTACGTTTACCTGGGACAAATGGTCCGACTAGGTAAGTCCAACTTCGACCGAGAGGTCAATCGACGGATTCAACTCGGCTGGGCAGCGTTCGGGAAATTACGACACATCTTCTCGTCAGGTATACCTCAATCTCTGAAAACTAAAGTGTACAACCAGTGCGTGTTGCCAGTGATGGCTTACGGATCAGAGACGTGGTCCTTCACTGGTGGCCGTATGAGCACGCTCAAGGTCGCTCAGCGAGCTATGGAGAGGGCTATGCTCGGAGTTTCTCTGCGTGATAGACTCAGAAATGAGGATATCCGCAGTAAAACCAGAGTGACCGACATAGCCCAACGGATTAGTAAGCTAAAGTGGCAATGGGCCGGCCATATAGCTCGAAGAACCGATAACCGATGGGGAAGAAAGGTTCTCGAGTGGCAGCCTCGTACCGGTAGGCGTAGTGTAGGGCGACCCCCCACTAGATGGAGTGACGACCTGGTAAGACATGCAGGAAGTCGATGGATGCAGGTGGCTCAGGACCGTGCTTTGTGGCGTTACTTGGGGGAGGCCTATGTTCAGCAGTGGAGTTGTGAAGGGCTGTAATGGTGATGATGATGAATAGCCAATTCAAACATCTCAGTTTTAAAGCCACTGACTTGTTTGCTTTAAAAGTACTTACCTTCTTAAGTTCGAAAGCATTAAAACATAAAATGTCATGAAACTTGTTACTTTTTTGTGTTTTTATATCGTTTGTATAAGTCTTTCTGTTTTGTTGTTTGTTTCGTACGGTGAATTTGCTTGGATTCCCGAAGTAGATCTTGAAATTTTGGAAATAGTCGATATATCAGTTCTAGTAAATTTAAACTTGTTTTAGTCAACTTAATATTTTTTTTATCACCGAATCCACTTCTCATACATAGAGAAGTGAGAGGCAGAATCGACAAGAGACTTTCTGATGACAGTTTATTGATTAAAATGACAATATATTGAAGGACCCCGCTTCGACACGTTCATTGTTTCTGGCTAAACCTTTAAAGAACAGGTGTGAATGTTTACGCATGTTGTGTGCATTTAGCACTTTCTTCATCAGCCTGCAGCAATACACTGCTAGACGTATGCTTTTTTAATATGCACCGCTGTACGATCTTCGGCTTCACGCATCCAGTTACAGCTAGTCATCTTACAATGATTTTACTCTGTCCAGCTAGAGAAGAGTCCCACAATAAGTTTCCTTTAACGCGTTTTCCAGTTTAGAATACGAAGAACTTTCGCACTTCATGGAGTTCTCCATTACAAATCCTTTCTTCCAGCGAAGCAACAAGTATAGCTCTTTCCATCGCTTGGTGATTGAATATGAATTTCTACAGTATTCTAGAATAGTGCTATTTGTGCACACATTTTGACGACATCTATTAGTATAGTTGGGTAACGTTGCGATTATGAACTATCACAGCTCGCTTATTTTCACATATATTTAATATTAGCTGGTAACCGACGCATTACTACCGCAGAAGAAATAATTGTGGAAACGTCGTTTTATATCTGCATTGTTTAAATAGGAATGTTATAATACAATCACCGACATTGAATGATCTATAACTTTCAAATAAATTATCAGTGCGATATGCGCGCTACCGTCTGTGAATTAATTGTACTATGGCTATAACCTTCGCCCAAGTGTAAGCAATAAGTTGACAAAGTTTCACTGCAATTTGATGAACGGTACGGCAGCGCATAAAATACGAACAAACAATCATTAATGCATATGTAAAATTAAATTTGAAAATAAATCACATGTATAAGTTAACTTAAATTATTTATTTGAACTAACACAGCCCTTATTTTCATACACATATTTAATACTAGCTAGTACACGACACATTGCTACCACAGAAGGAATACTTGTGAAAACATCGTTTTATATTTGGAAGTTATATTGTTTAATTAGGAATAATAACACAATTATTGAAATTAATTTATGTATAATTTTCAAATAAATTATCAGTACGATAATTAATATGATAGTTATAGATCATTCAAAATACATACTGTAAGTTTATGATTGTACTATGGTTATAACCTTCGCCCTAGTGCAAGCAATATGCTGTCAAAATTTGACCGTAATCTGATGAAGCAGCGCATAAAATACGAACAAACATTCATAAATGCATATTATGTAAAATGACATTTGAATATAAAACAGATGCCTAAAAAAATTTAAAATCTCTAAAAGTAGTTTTAATTAATGTGTAGTGTTTGTGTAAATATTAGAAACCATTATACATTTTAATTATTTATTTAAGTCAATGAAAAATTGAGTTCAACAGTTTTCAAAGTCGTGTTCCACAACCGTTTTGGCGCCTAATGTTATGACACCCTACGGAGGTGAAACCGTTGCCATATCCACGGCCAACAGCAGTACCAGGAAATTACTCACGCAAGATGCTCAGGTCACCGTATCCACAGCCGTATCTTACAGAACCAGCGCCAGCTATAGGCAATGCACCGTCCAAAAGTGCGGTGCTTGAGAATGGCAGCTGACCGATGACCGACAAAATGCCCGAAATTTCGTTATCGGATGATACAAATACACCGCGTGAAGCACTGGGTGAGCTGCTGATCATAATAAAACCTCCACCGTCGGCGGCTGCTAGCGCAGCATCTGCGTTAGCTGCAGAGAGTGAACAATCTTTGTAATTTTTTATTATAACAATTGTAATTGCTAGGCCATTGCCGTAAACGCCCAAGTTGTTTGCACACCGTGACAGGCATTGTCCGTAGATGCTCTGCAATTTTATAAAACATGCTTACATTGGATAAAACTAGAATTACGTTAAGTTTAAAAACAATGTCATGAGGACAAGTATGAATAAATTAGGTTTAAACTCACCGGAGCTAACAAACCGAAAACACAAGTAAAAACGAAAACAGTAGCGGCCATCCTGTTTGTAATATTCCGAGTGTAGCACCAAGACGGAATGATTATAAAATATTTCATCACACATTTATATTCAAAAATAGTACGTTGATCAGCTTTCAGCACACCTTGCAAAAGTACAGACTTGCAAAACGTGGCAGCTTTTCATGGCCGCACGTGAGCTGGCAAGGAGAAGAATATTTAAGCAATACAAACACAATTTATTTGTATGAAAATTATTTGGGAACTAATGGTAAGTATACAATAGCTTAAGATATTAATTTAATTTTCTTGCGTAAGATAATTACGAAATGATAAATTATATAATAAATGTATATAGCTATAAAGGCTTAGACATTAGTAGCAATCGTTAGTTAGTCGAACACCATACCAACATGTATACATTCTTCTATTTTGGGCGTTTGGTGTGCTTCCATGCATGCGTCATACAGGTAAAAAATAGTTGAAGAAGCAACATATTCTCTATATAAAAATAAAAATTGAATTTATGATTTAAATAACTTCATACCAATATTTTCGTTAATTTTTAGGAAGTATTCGGCCAGTGCCATCAACACGGTTACGCGATTGGATATGGGGCAGGTAATATTGGGTGTAGGTGTGGAGGAGGAAATGGACTGGGTATCATCAATAACTTGGGTAACGACTACGGGTGGAGTGGTACTGAAGTCGTCGGAGCCTACGGTGGAGTCGGTACAGGTGACTTGGATATCGCTGGCGAGCTGCCAGTCACAGGCGTCACCACAGTCATTGGACACGTACCAATACTTGGGGCGGTGAAATTCCGAGGCGAAGTGCCGGCAGCTGGAACCGTTTCTATTTACGGAAAATGTGGCTGCGACTGCAACGGTCTGCTATAGTTTTTAAGAAAATTTTTACATTCCTTTTCAAATTATACTACTGGAAATACAGCTTTGGAGGTATATTTTTTATTTTTTTTTTAATAGCAACCCCTATGGTATAATTTATTTTATGTCATTTAAATGCTGTTGGCCAGTTAGCTTTTAAAGTTTACTTTTAAAGTATAATGATAAAACAGATAAGTAAATACTGTGGACCGTAGACCTACATCTTATCTTGATTACGATTCAAAATGTACCAGTTTTCCAGGCAAATTCCCTCGAAAGCAAAACTCGAAAAAAAAAACTTACAACGGCGAGACGATCACTCGACTAACGAAGCAGTCTTTTAATATATTATGCTCGGTAAAACAGCGTTTCGAAAAAAATTTCATGAAAAAATGTCACACTTCCTCTTGCGAAATGGATGACCTTACAAAATGAATAATCTTACAAATTCTGAGGAAAATCATTTCATAAATTTTACGGATGATAATTTATGCCTTTACGATAGAACTCTGGGGATCTGAATTTACAAATTCTATTACGACATTTTGTATCGAAATTTGCCTTATAAGAAAATGGTAATCCGTTGTACCTTGATCTAGTCAATATGTAATGGTAAAATGGTTTGTCGATTAGAATGGGGTCGTGAGTTATCATTGAGCAATAATGGCAACGATCAATTGACTAGTGGAGATTGTCTTGAGGTTATGTTATGTTTTAAGTGTTTGCTAATTTATTAACATCTAATGAAATATATACATACAATATTAAAAAACCTATATTAAAGAAACACTAAAACTTAAATTACCATACAGTAAGTACTACTCCCCGCGGTTTTGCACCAAGAACGCTGGTTGCGTTTCTTCGCAGAATAGTCTGTTAAAAAGTTACACATAGACTTTGAGCGCGAAAAGAACATATCTTCTTATCATCAGCAGCGACGAACAGTTGCTTTAGGAACTTTACCGCAAGTAGGCCCCAAGGACTGATCATCCCCACTGTGAATGGCACAAATAAGTAGTCGTCTCTCATATTCGGCTTATGGTGCGTCCTGGCTCTAAACGAGGTATCACTGATATGAGAAGCAGCTATGCCACCAGTGTCTTCGCAAGTATCATCCTGCACTAGGGATTTTTTTCTCTCCCAAAGGACCAAAGTCATACCGACAGGTCTCCTACCATTGTCTTTAAATATTCCACAAGGCTCTAAATCTGGGGGAACATTTAAAAATAATGTCCTCCAGACCGAATTTCGGCCACGGCGGCCTACCTCATCGGAGGCCAACCATCGGCGCAGGACAGGATTATAGTGCCCAAATATATGCGCAAGCACAGGTGCACTCTCTATTCCCTCACTCTCATAATCCGATGGTACGGTAAACCGACACGACCGGAGAGAGATAAGGCTCAGGGCCAACAATTTCTTGACTGAAAACCCCAATAATTAATTTTTGGCCCGACCCGGGATTCGAACCCAGGATCTTATGATCAGTAATCGCGCCACTGCAACCACTAGACCAACGAAGCAGTCATTTTGGTTATTAAGGTATATATAGATATTGAAGAATAAGCTCGGGAACATTTATAGCGACAAGAGCTTGTTGGATAACAAATTTAAAGGAACAGTGACGGAAAACCTAATAAATTTCGCCATCGTTATTAACAAAGATTATGTAAAACAGATGGGAACTTAGACGAAATTGAAACTAGTGGAGAAATATTTTCTTTAAAAAATTCCTAGTTAAACAATGTAAATAATTATTCACAGTAGACGTCTGCTATTATTAATACACAGGATCCCAAAAAGCTATTACGAATTACACCACGCAGATATTACCAAACATGAATTGTGAATTTTTATAACCTTTTTAAAAATTGTGTAAATTTAATTAACAATAACGCTACTACGCGCTAATAATAATAACGCTACAGAAAAAAAACGAATTGTTTTACCAGCTCGTCGCTAATGGACGCAGTTTAATAGTAAATATATAGGAAGCGACTTTCTGCGATTCGATTCGACTCGGCTCGGTGAGCCTAGTGGACGCGGGCCTTAGAAAACCAGAGACACTTTTTACAGGAAACGGGGCTTTCCATCTTATCCAACATCATTACTTACAGCAACGCCTCTGTATTTTGCATTCTGCATTTTGATTCACAAAGCACGGTCCCAAGACACCTACATCCATTGAATTTCTATATAGTGCTTTGCAACAGATATAATATTATATGAATTTTAAAATACAGAAAACTCTTGATTATGATAAAGTCAAGCGAAATGGCAGCTTAACCAAAGTTTTAATTGAAAATGTCAACATCTCTCGAGAATTTCTTAACGGGGTTAATTTTAATATTTAATAATATCCACATTTAAGAATTAGTGTTTTATTTGAAGTTTTGATATGTTCTATTATTAGTAAAAAAGATTTTTTCTCAACGGTTTAAAACTTCAATAAAAATACTATGTGTCCTAACAATATACGAAAATGTAATAGGAGAATATAATAGGGCATAAAATGAAAATTTAGGCGAAAATGAAGGAGAAGTGCGCCCCCCTCCTCCTCCACTAGATGGATTGACGACCTGGTCAAACATGCAGGAAGTCGATGGGTGGCCTATGTTCAGTAGTGGACTTCTGAAGGGCTATAATGATGACGAATGATGCATACAAGAATTTATCGATCAATAGGTCGATCTACTTTAAGCAACTATGTGGGGAGTTCAGAAGGTTGCATAAAATATAGAAATTCTATTGTAATTAATCTGCAGAGTAAAGGTAAAGTAAGTACTCTGTAATCGTGTAGCAACGATGTAAAAAAATTCACTACCCGATATCATTCCATGGGTGTCGTAAGAAGTAACAGAGTAAAACTCAAAGAATACTATAATACACAATAGAATGGCTGTCAACCTTATTTTGTACGATTCGCTGTATTGACAGACGGATTTTAATACATATTGATTTGTAAATAGCGTGCACTTTGGCATTTTCTAAACAAGTTTAAAACAAGTATTTGTTTTTTTTAAATTTTGTACTAAGAACTGATATATCTAGTTTTTTAGCGAGCTATTTCCAAAATTTCAAGTATCTAGCTTATCGGGAAGTGCCCGAAATTTGAGTTTCAAGATTCCACCCGGTACGATAGACAAACAGACGAACAAACAAGAAAGTGACTTAATACAAACGTGGGAAATAACCATTAATATAAAAATTATGACCAAAATGCTTTTAGCATGATTTTGCAGTAGTAGTAAAGTAACAAGTTTCATGACATTTTAGATGCTTTCGAACTTAAGAAGGTAATTACTTTTAAAGCGAACTAGTCAGTGGCTTTAAAACTGAGATGTTTGAATTGGCTATTAGCCAGGCATAACTTGAGTTTGTAACGTGGTTGTTAACAAGAGAATTATTGAGTAAGTGGATATAAGAAGTTATAAGGACTTTTGACTAGAGACTAGAGACTAGAGAGACTAGACTAGACTTTTTACTTTTATATTGGATTTATTTACAAGATAAAAATATACGTTCATGTTCTGGGATAAAAATATATGATGAAATAAGTATAACAAGTGGCAAAATAAAAAAAAAACATTGTACAACTGAATTCAGATTAAATAAAATGAGAACGTCATTAATGTATTCGAATTTAAATACGCATTATTTAAGGATAACTCTAAAACTACCGGTCAGGTCTTGATCAAATTTATATGGGACCACACAAAAGCACTAGCTTTCAAATAAAGACAGTTGAATTGAGTACCTCCTCTTTTTTGAAGTCGGCTAAAAACACAGGTGTTGTACGTTACGATGTTATAGTTAGTCAGCATCCCTCTCGATTTTTGTTTTCAGATCAAATCTTTCAAACGATATAGTGAAAATTAATCTCGATATAATCGGTAACCACAGTCTTAATATTTACTTTATACTGTGCCGTAGCATTAGTTTTTTTAGTACTCCTCTAGACCCTTCTACATAATTTAAAATATAAGTAAACAAACGTACGTACTTAACTACGGTGTGCACGTTATTTGTCATAGCAAATTAATAACATTAATTCATTGAATCGCAAAATTTAGAGCAAAGGAAATTAATAGGAGAGACAATCTTGGATTTGTCGCAGTCCGACGGTTTTATAGGACAGCCAGTTAATTAAATGTA